TTTAATGATATACAAATTACAGAGAAAATGTAATTTACTCTACAGTTCTTTTACTTGTAATTACACTATTTTTATGTAAATTAGATTGTCTGCTCTAGGCAATGTCGAATTATAAAAGGATATTTGTAAACATGAATACTTAAACAAGTCCTAAATGTCAAGAAAAATACCATTTTTGAGTAAAAGAAAATGTCTGGATGTCTGTACGAAAGTTAACTAAAATAAAAGAGCATTATATATTTATTATATTATATATTATATAATTTATTATCATCGTCGGAGCTTCTGTCTTCTTAGCATATCTGGTCTCGTATTTAGTATTGTCTTTCCCTTTATATTATACTTCTTCTGATAACAATGGAATCATGCTTTTCATCTATCAAATTCCATTCTGGAGAAAACATTGAATTGAAATCATGTGACTCCTCAACCTCATGTATGGTCTCGATTTTCATCCCTATAAATGCACAGACATACCTGAACAATAGAGGCTTCGTCTCACTGATGATTACTAATATTTTCTATACCTGTATAATTCCTGTATAGAAATTAGGCTAGAGGCCTGAAAAGTACTTGGAGACTCTGCACTTTCAGAACAGAAATGTACAAAATAACTTTCAAACAATGGCCATTTCTAATGTTCTTTTCAGTAGCCGTTATACACAGGTTTGACTGTATTCATAAAAAAAAACATTTAATTAGAATACAGTCGACCCCCTATAACACTGTTGATAATTCCGTTTTATATGAATTCCATATTGTACGAGTTACTTAGATTTTACAAATACGTGTGCCGGGCTGTGAATGGCTCACATATTTGTAAAATATAAGTGAATCGTACAACACGGAATTCATATAAAACGGAATTATCAACAGTGTTACAGGGGGGTCGACTGTATTTATAATGGATGCTACTTGGAAATTTTTAAAAAAATTTCTAATTTATATTATTTGTAAGAAGGACTAATTAAAATAAGTTTAAAAGAAATCATTAATTTGTTTTTAATCTCAATTTAACGATACATAAACAATTTTAACAAGGTGTTTAGCAAGATGTAAATACACGATGATTACTTCTATTTTTTTTTAAAGTTTGATAAATTATATTAAAACATTTATTTCTGTAGTAAAAAATAAAGTAAATTTGATTTTACAAGCACAAATTATTTTCAAAAATTTTTAATATAGAAAAATGTAAAAAAATAAAAAAAAATACAACTGAATACTTTCAATAATATAAGCTTATCTAGCGTAATATGTGACTATTTATATCGATTTTTAATGGAAAAATATATTATGTAAGGGTGTCTTACAATAAATTAGTTCAATAGTACTGATTGGATAAAACACTAGCAGAATACAGGTGAGAAAGAGTAAAAGACAGGTCTTAAAAAAGCCCAGAAGAGTCCAAAAAGTCGGATTTAAAAGGAGTTTATCACGTCTAAAATGGTCTAAAACACAAGTCTATAGAAGGATTTGCCAAAAGAACATCGTCTTATACAGTGGGAGTGGGTCAAAAGTGCCTCAAAAACTGTACACGTAATTAGTGAGGAAAAAAAGGGTCCTTAGTGAAGAATACCTCTAAGGCTTCTAAAGTGTCGAATTAAAATTAGAACTTTAAACTTCGTTATTACAGTATTTACTACCAATTTTTGAAAATATATATTATAAAACTCAGAACTTTTATTTAAAAAAAAATATATTTACGATTTTCAAATAATAACGATGAAAATTAAATGTAATATTTAATACGGGTTTATTGTTAAATTCTCTTATAAATTACAAATAAAAATAAAATTAATTGAGTGAAGATATTGCTTACAATTATTGTTATTTGAGTATTTAAGCATTTTTATCGTTCAACTTAAGCATTTTTCTTGAAACATTAAACTAATTAATAAATCTCAGAAACGAGTTGCATAACTTTCCCAGCAAAAATTTCAAATTGTATGTGGCGCCATCTGTTATGAAATTTTATAAAATGGTGAAAAGTTTAGTTTAATTATGAGGGTAGAGTCCTCATAATTAAACTGAAGGTAGAGTCGAATGGGGACAAATTAGTAATAATTTGTCCCCATTCGACACTTGACATATGACCCCTTCTATCTTCTCACCCCATTGACCTTTAATCACCAAAATTTAACATGACCTAACCACATAATACAGAAACCTCCCTGCGGAATTTTGAAAATTTTTGTCAAAAGATACAGGAGTTATTAAGCTTTAAATTGGGTTAATAAAATCGTGCCCCAAACACAGAAAAAAACCTAAATCTTTTGCATTTATGGACGTTTTAAGGTCCCGAGTCTATAAAATATAAATGTTTTAGGGGTTGTTTTTTGATTTAACACCATAATAACAGTTCAGAACGTGAACATTATATGAAATAAAATAAATTAGTGATTATTTTTCATAGTAGAAGGTTAGGATGAGTATCAGTAAAAGCCGATGATGCGGTAACACAACATCATATTATGGTGTTAATGATATCATGACAATGATATATCTTCGTTGTTGTCAGTCAGATTAAATTAATTACTGCAAGGACATTGATATAATGTAATTTATCTCTTCTAACGTAACATTTTCTTATTATTTCTCAAAGGATACAGTGATGTAGGCTAAGTTTTTCATGCAGAATCTCTTGAATACAGAAATCAGTATCTTGGTATGCAACTCCTAAACCAACGTAATTTCGTATTAAAGTTAAAATCCTTCTCTATCATCATTGAGATGTAAAAAAGTGTCATCATTGTCATTAAAAGTAATAAAAAAAAAAAAGCTTGAAACAACGTTGCTGGACTTCCTTGGCATTCCTTATTCGTATAATTCCATATTAATGTAATATCCCATTATTATTAGTAATATAATAATAGGGACTTAATAGGAAATATAAAATAATAAGGAATTTTCAGGGATATATTATTATATCCCTAATAATTGCTACCATTACTTTTATAAGTCTACAGATTAATTCGGAAGAAATTAAGAAGATGGGGCCACATCTCTTGAACTAATGATGTGATTTTCCTGAAAATTTCTACAAACATTCTCCTCTAATACCCAAATTATCCTGCAGAATTTCAGAAATTTCCGATGAAACGTGCAGGTATTATTATGCTTCAAATTGGGTGAACAAAATCGTGACCCTCCTCATTCATACAGGAAAAAAAAAAACCCTAATCGTTTTTGCATTCTCGACATTTTAAGGCACACGAGTCCAATAATAAAAATATTAGGGGGTGATTGTTTTACCATACTTTCTCTCTGTTATAAAAAAAAATAGCCGGAGAAGTAAGAATAGTCATGGCATTTGAGATGAACGTCGTCACAGTAATGATCATTAAGTAAGGAAACAAAATGTATTTATCACTAGAGAGAGAACACACGTCATCCCTCAGTTAAAAATTTCGTAAAAATATACTAGAAAATCAACAGAAAAATAGTGAAATGTATAACCTTCGAGACTACATTTTATGCTTTCTTTGTCCCTCTTATGATTTTCAGCAATAACCAATAATTTAGATTCTAAATAACAATTTATATTTAAATTGTTACCAGTGATTATTATGTAAACTTTTTACTGTTTTATTTGTTATTTTTATCTTTTTTCTTCTTCCTGGAAGAGTACAGAATGACTTACAATCCAAATTCAAAGTGAGTAGATGGGGGAATGCTTAAAGAAAATGAAGCAAAATTAGCCATCAAATTTAGTTCCTTCTAATCAAATTTGAATGATAACAGATTGGTTTTCGATAATTTGATTTTCCACATAAAAACTCTTTAAAAAGAAGTCTTGGATTTTGTTATTTAAATTTATATTGATTACTTCGACTCTTCTTCGAGTTGAATAAGTAAAAAAAAATTACAAAAAGTAAATTAAATTTAAGCATAAAAACACTTTCAAAACAGTTCTAAAATTCACTCTTATACAGTAAAACACTGCTATTTTTATTTCTCTTTTGTTGTGGGATTTTAAAAATAATTATTTTCTTAAAGAAAACATTGTTTTAAACAATAAAAAATGACACTCGTATTAACTGAGAGCATATCTAAACATTAAAATAGACTTTTTTTTATAGTGTTACATTTGTTTCGTGTCTCTTGTTTATATTGATGAAGACAATACATTAATATTTCTGTATGTTTATTAATTTACAGTTTTACTTCTACTGATTTCCTGTAGAGAAACCATTAAAAGGCATAAAAAAATAATCAAGTGTAACGTCATTTATGCTATTTTCTATTTTAACATAACAATCATTCATTTCAGGAGGAGAGAAAGGAACTTCTTAATTACGTTCTAGTAACCATCGATCAAACTTATTGGCCTATCAAACCATGCAAAATGGCTTTAAGTGAAGTTGATAAAGATGGAAAACTTCACTTAAATATATCAAATTTTATAATTTAAATTTATTTACATAAATAAAGAGATGAGATTTAACACAATTAGTAGACGAGAATTTCTTCAAGACCAATTTGAAAATTAATTAATAACTCTTGTGATTATTGTTAGAACTTATTGAAATTTTGCAAGGAATTTTATATATTAGGGACATTGATTGTGTTAAATTTTGGTGGTTATAGGTCAAGGGGGTGGAGAGATAGAAGAGGTTGATATGTCATATCTCGAATAAGATCGTATTTATTTACTCGTTATTAACATTTAAAAACTTTATAAAATTCATTTATACCACGAAAATTAAGTTATTTATTACTTTATAATGATTAATAAATATAAAAAAATTTTTTAATATAATATAATAACAGATGGCGCCACGGAGTAATTTTAAATTTTCTTGCCTGGAAAGTTATGCAACTCTTTGCTGGATTTTTTATATTTAGGTTAATTATCATTTAGATAATTACAATTTTTATGAAATTATTCGATACTAAAAACAAGAAATTAAATTAAAATTAATTCATTTTTATTCGAATAAAATTCTTGAAAAAATAATACAATTAATTAATTAAATTTTTTTATGGTTTTCTTTTATTTCGTAGTACTTAAAATATATTTATTTATTTATGACGTATGTAACATGGCACTTGGTTTACAATTAATATCCATAACTTAAAAAGATAATTCGTTTAATTACATTCATTTATTATTCTAAAACATCTTCGAATCTATACAATTTAATCAATATTTTTAAGTGTAATATACGGTGATGAATGTAAATAATAAGAACGTATTTTCATGTAAAAATTATCATAATTTGTACTGATTTATACAGATAATTTCGTGTAATTTCTTTTAGATATGTAATGTTATTTAACTTTAATTGTAATTACAATCTTTCGTGTTAAGAGAAAATAAAAGTTTAAATTCTGTCTCGATACCTCTTATTATATTATATATATAAAAGAGAAAGAAAATTGATAAGCAAAGAATCAATTTTGAGAGTTTGAAATTTGAAACGTGTCCAATAGAGGGTAAGATGATGATTTTCCATTCTTCTGTTCTAGATAATTACTGTCATTAGAGTATCTTAAATTGTTACTTCCAGGTTGTCTGTATGGAGATTGTTTAATAGGTTTTGTACCGTTTACGGTATAAGAATCCATTACGTTTGACACGTGAGTTGTAGATCCTTGCGGTGCTACTTGACAACGGATGTTGGGATGACGTCTCAATAGAGCTTGGATGTAAGTTTGTTTAAGAGCTGTTTGTACCTAAATAATTATATATATATATATTAATTAAAATTAATAATATATTATTGCTTTTATTTATTTATTTAAAAATATATTCAATATATTGCATGTATTGCTGAAACTTGTTACTAATAAGTCAAGAGCATCACTGGTATTTAACAATCTGAATGAAATAAATGCTATTAACTTTTAAGGAATAATGTTCTTAAATAATTAAAATAGTAAATTTGACTTATATATTTTTATTAATATTGTTTTAAGAACAATTAAAAATGGTTTAAACTTATGAATACATGTGGTCTGGAGTGTTCATGCTACATATCAGATGCATTCGTGATGCTCTTGTGCTACTTATCACATGCATTCCTAATCTGTTTTGCCACATACCACATGAATTCCTCATTCCTTTGTGCCACAAACCATATGCATTCGTGATTCTGTTGTACCACAAACCACATGCATTCGTGATTCTGTTGTACCACAAACCACATGCATTCGTGATTCTGTTGTGCCACAAACCACATGCATTCGTGATTCTGTTGTGCCACTACCAAATGAATTCGTTATATATCGCGGTTAAGTGACCTTTAAACTATCTTTTTCATCTGTCTAACTATGTTTCTTGATAGAAAAGAGTAAAAAATTTACCTCAGAGTTAAGAAAACAATAAAGCACTGCAACAAATATACCCTGAAATATACAAATCATTAATGATTATATTATATTATATAAAATATAAAAATAAATATTTTAATTTGTTATCTATTTTTATCAATTATTTTACCTGACAAGACTGTAAAAGGGCATTTGTAATCATGTAAGCTTGTTCTAAATATCCATCGTCTTGTGGATTTATACAGAAGAGCAAGTGGGTTATCCCCAGCAAAGGAAACAACAAAACAGTAGCTTTAACTGCTTTCCTAAACCAAAAAAATAAAATAAAAAATAAATTTAATAAAGTCAAATGTCTTAAAATTTTAATATTTTAATTTAAATTAAATTCACCAGAAGTTTCTAAGAATCTCATTCAGATTATTTCATTTTAAAATCGAAGTTCCTTAATAAATATTAATTAAAATTCAAACAGAAAATTGAATTTGTGAAGTTGAATTTACTTTGCTCTTTAAATTATAATGGTAATAATGAAACATTATTTAAATTACTTGATTTTATTCTACTCATGAAGTTTGAAACGAATAATAAAATTAATTCTTCTATGCAATTTAAAGATAAAAATGGCAAATACTTGTGGAAAATTTATCGAAAAACTGCTATAAAATATACTTCTGTCTTGTTTTTTTATTAATTAAAAGAGTTTATATTTTAAAATATTTTATAATTTATTTTCTATGTTGGACAGTATGTGATAGAAGAAATTATTATAGTAAAAATAATTGGGATCATTCTTAAAAACATATATAGTAAAACCTGTTCATAACCTCCTTATAACGACCAATATTTTATGTTCTCACCAATAGCCGTTTTTTAGAGGTTTTGCTTGTATAACTGTACTAATATTTTCTCTTTGAATATATATAATAAATAATATTAAGAAGGAAAAGTTCAGATAAAAATAACTTCATAAAATACCTACCTGACCTGTTTTGTTTCTATAGATACAGTAGCACGTATTTTAGTGATCAAAATGCGAACTATAGTAAATAGGAAGATTGTGTTCACCTGAAAATTACCATTAAATATAAAAGAATGTAATATAAAATATTGTATAAAAAATACAGGTGTGCCATAAGTCAGGAACCATAGAAGTTACATTGATTTTTGTTTACTATTTTACAGGTTATATATAGAGCTGAGTAATAAGGAACAAAATCAAATTATAATGATAATAGAGAGCAGCAGTAAGCGTGATGCTGAAGAGTATAATAGGCTGCATCCGGACTTATCACATTTACACATAAAGATGTGGATGTAAGTCTTCAGCATCTTCATGCTTACTGCTGGTCTTCATTATAAATTGAATTCGTTTCTCATTACTCAACTCTATGTTTAACCTTTAGAAAAATATACAAAGATTAACGTAACTTCTATCGTTCCAGGCTTATGGGACACTCTTAATTTTAATTATTCTTTAATATAAAAGTGTTAATTATATAAATTAATTTTCTTCTATTTCTTGCTATAAATATTCAAATATTTATTATAAATGATATGTAAATTAACTAAAGAATTCATTAAAAATCATTTATAAGTTAAGTATATTGAAAGAATAAAGCTGTGTACTATAAAAATATATAGGCACATCTCGTACATTTAATGCGATAAAAGATCTGTATGTTTGTCCATCTGGCAGCTTGCAAAATGGCAAAACAAATTTTCCAATATCACATTTCTTCTGATCAAATTTTTAGCAATTTTATATCCGAGAACATTTCAGCAGCAAAAGCACTTTTGCTCTTCCAACAAATGATTCAAGTGGCCAAAAAAAAAAGATTATTAAATTCTACATTTAATTATACGTTTACATAATTTAATTAATATAAATGTTCATCTAAAAACGGAAATGTTTACAAAAAAATATAAATATTTATGTACAATTTTAGCTTATTATGTACAAGATGGCCCACGTATCATTATAACAGATTTGGTTTTGTGTAATTTCCAGGAATTTACGAGACTAACTTTTTACATTATTGCATACACAAACATAATTCCCTATGCATTGTATTACTGTTATATCTTATTTACCTACCCGTCTACCTCAATGCCTAAACACACACACTATTGTGTAATTAATTTTAAAAAAAATAATAATAATAAAATAATTTACCACTAAAGCTGTAATCATAGGACCGGTAACAATCCATATAAAAGGTAATTTTCCATATCCTCTCCAACACGGAGTGTTTAGATAAAAATTCATACAGATAGCCCACGTGATAACAAACATCCCTGGTGCACCTGAACATCGAAAATATTCTATCAAATATTACCATTGTTTTAAATTTTTAATATTTTATCCTCATACCCACCCCATCCTATAAAATAATATAATTTAAATGGTGGATCTTGCTGAAAAACGAAGACAGAAATGCTGCTGTAAAGTAACAATCCTTCAACAAACATCCAGTTAACGCTTGCAGTTGCAGCATACATTTTTAACGTCAGTAACGTCTTACAAAACCAATCCTACAATAAAAAGGAGTAAAAAATAAATAAAAATTACTGTCAAAATTAATTATATATAATAATATAAAACCATTTACAAAATCATGATAAGTAGGAACAGAATTTTCGAATAAAATTGGCAATGGAATTATCATAAGTAGAAATGAATGAATCATGAGAGCAACAACCAAATTTCTGTGAACTCGAAGCCTGGAGCATTGTAGACATCTGTAAAACAGTAAATATTTAATATTTATATTGTTATTAAAGTAAAAATTTATTATTATATGAAAGAAAATCTACCTGAAATACGAGAAAATAAATAACGTGATCGATAGCAATATCAATGAGAGAAGAGATCCGATGAATAGAATGTAGCTAACTGATAATCTTCCCTTGGGCTCTTTCTGTAAAATAATTTTTATTAAAATTAGAAAATAGAAGCGACGAGAGGTCTTCTAATAAAGAAAATTGTAAGCATTATTGCTTTTCTCTATTAAGTTTTATAAAAATTATATTGTTAAATTGATAGTTATGTCAGTCGTTTCGTCGTAATTCACTTAAGGGTGATGAGTCTCGTATTATTCGTATACCGACACGTGGAGAGAGCTCGTGTAGTGAGATCGTTTGCTGACCCAGTTATTACTGCACGACACCTTCAACTAGTGAATTTGAGACAAACATATTGGATTGTGAGATTGATGCGATAAAGCAACACAACACATGAGCTAACTGCAAAGGGAGAGAGAGTGCCTCACCCTAGAAGTTTCTATGTAAAACTCTTCCTATTTACTCGGAAAAACTCTGAATATTCCAAGCGACCAGCCTATTGATGATGCGCGAAACCGCGACAACGTGCTGGCCACGTGAAATTGTCCCAATTTTCCACTTTTTTAACACCTAAAATAGGAGGCCCTTTCTATATAATATCCTCCTTCAAATTGGCATTCCCCGATTAATTTAATAATGAAATTAGACTTTTAAACGTCGATTACTTGCAGATAAAACTTCAACACATATTTATTATTATTTTCAGAATTAAATGGAGAATTTCTTATTGATGTCTCTACAAGAATGCAGTAAAAATGGTACACTTCTATTTATTTTTATCGTAAAAAGGAGTACAAAGAATCATTGAGACTAGTAATAACTAGTAGCCTTACCCCCTCTTTTGTAAAATAAATAATATATATAAAAATAGATTTTTCGACCCACTCTTGACTTAGAAAACAAAATTTTAGGACCTTTATGCGCCTGGTATCGGGCCAAATTGCCCTTTAAGACTAGCTCATAAATATGTTTCTACCTATTTAATAAATTAAGGAACTTAATCAATTATTTCATTATTCTAACAATACAACGTTGTTAAGAAACTTCAACAATTAATGCTTAAATTTCACATGACATTGATAAAAATTAGAAGAGAAATAATGAAAATTTAATCAAATTTCTATTTGTTATCATTTTTCATTTGATTATCTAAAGAATTTTTAAGTAACAATTAAATAAATCAAAAATTTTCTATGTCAAATAAACACATCACATGAATTTTAATNTCATTTTTCATTTGATTATCTAAAGAATTTTTAAGTTTACATTGATTTTTGTTTACTATTTTACAGGTTATATATAGAGCTGAGTAATAAGGAACAAAATCAAATTATAATGATAATAGAGAGCAGCAGTAAGCGTGATGCTGAAGAGTATAATAGGCTGCATCCGGACTTATCACATTTACACATAAAGATGTGGATGTAAGTCTTCAGCATCTTCATGCTTACTGCTGGTCTTCATTATAAATTGAATTCGTTTCTCATTACTCAACTCTATGTTTAACCTTTAGAAAAATATACAAAGATTAACGTAACTTCTATCGTTCCAGGCTTATGGGACACTCTTAATTTTAATTATTCTTTAATATAAAAGTGTTAATTATATAAATTAATTTTCTTCTATTTCTTGCTATAAATATTCAAATATTTATTATAAATGATATGTAAATTAACTAAAGAATTCATTAAAAATCATTTATAAGTTAAGTATATTGAAAGAATAAAGCTGTGTACTATAAAAATATATAGGCACATCTCGTACATTTAATGCGATAAAAGATCTGTATGTTTGTCCATCTGGCAGCTTGCAAAATGGCAAAACAAATTTTCCAATATCACATTTCTTCTGATCAAATTTTTAGCAATTTTATATCCGAGAACATTTCAGCAGCAAAAGCACTTTTGCTCTTCCAACAAATGATTCAAGTGGCCAAAAAAAAAAGATTATTAAATTCTACATTTAATTATACGTTTACATAATTTAATTAATATAAATGTTCATCTAAAAACGGAAATGTTTACAAAAAAATATAAATATTTATGTACAATTTTAGCTTATTATGTACAAGATGGCCCACGTATCATTATAACAGATTTGGTTTTGTGTAATTTCCAGGAATTTACGAGACTAACTTTTTACATTATTGCATACACAAACATAATTCCCTATGCATTGTATTACTGTTATATCTTATTTACCTACCCGTCTACCTCAATGCCTAAACACACACACTATTGTGTAATTAATTTTAAAAAAAATAATAATAATAAAATAATTTACCACTAAAGCTGTAATCATAGGACCGGTAACAATCCATATAAAAGGTAATTTTCCATATCCTCTCCAACACGGAGTGTTTAGATAAAAATTCATACAGATAGCCCACGTGATAACAAACATCCCTGGTGCACCTGAACATCGAAAATATTCTATCAAATATTACCATTGTTTTAAATTTTTAATATTTTATCCTCATACCCACCCCATCCTATAAAATAATATAATTTAAATGGTGGATCTTGCTGAAAAACGAAGACAGAAATGCTGCTGTAAAGTAACAATCCTTCAACAAACATCCAGTTAACGCTTGCAGTTGCAGCATACATTTTTAACGTCAGTAACGTCTTACAAAACCAATCCTACAATAAAAAGGAGTAAAAAATAAATAAAAATTACTGTCAAAATTAATTATATATAATAATATAAAACCATTTACAAAATCATGATAAGTAGGAACAGAATTTTCGAATAAAATTGGCAATGGAATTATCATAAGTAGAAATGAATGAATCATGAGAGCAACAACCAAATTTCTGTGAACTCGAAGCCTGGAGCATTGTAGACATCTGTAAAACAGTAAATATTTAATATTTATATTGTTATTAAAGTAAAAATTTATTATTATATGAAAGAAAATCTACCTGAAATACGAGAAAATAAATAACGTGATCGATAGCAATATCAATGAGAGAAGAGATCCGATGAATAGAATGTAGCTAACTGATAATCTTCCCTTGGGCTCTTTCTGTAAAATAATTTTTATTAAAATTAGAAAATAGAAGCGACGAGAGGTCTTCTAATAAAGAAAATTGTAAGCATTATTGCTTTTCTCTATTAAGTTTTATAAAAATTATATTGTTAAATTGATAGTTATGTCAGTCGTTTCGTCGTAATTCACTTAAGGGTGATGAGTCTCGTATTATTCGTATACCGACACGTGGAGAGAGCTCGTGTAGTGAGATCGTTTGCTGACCCAGTTCTTACTGCACGACACCTTCAACTAGTGAATTTGAGACAAACATATTGGATTGTGAGATTGATGCGATAAAGCAACACAACACATGAGCTAACTGCAAAGGGAGAGAGAGTGCCTCACCCTAGAAGTTTCTATGTAAAACTCTTCCTATTTACTCGGAAAAACTCTGAATATTCCAAGCGACCAGCCTATTGATGATGCGCGAAACCGCGACAACGTGCTGGCCACGTGAAATTGTCCCAATTTTCCACTTTTTTAACACCTAAAATAGGAGGCCCTTTCTATATAATATCCTCCTTCAAATTGGCATTCCCCGATTAATTTAATAATGAAATTAGACTTTTAAACGTCGATTACTTGCAGATAAAACTTCAACACATATTTATTATTATTTTCAGAATTAAATGGAGAATTTCTTATTGATGTCTCTACAAGAATGCAGTAAAAATGGTACACTTCTATTTATTTTTATCGTAAAAAGGAGTACAAAGAATCATTGAGACTAGTAATAACTAGTAGCCTTACCCCCTCTTTTGTAAAATAAATAATATATATAAAAATAGATTTTTCGACCCACTCTTGACTTAGAAAACAAAATTTTAGGACCTTTATGCGCCTGGTATCGGGCCAAATTGCCCTTTAAGACTAGCTCATAAATATGTTTCTACCTATTTAATAAATTAAGGAACTTAATCAATTATTTCATTATTCTAACAATACAACGTTGTTAAGAAACTTCAACAATTAATGCTTAAATTTCACATGACATTGATAAAAATTAGAAGAGAAATAATGAAAATTTAATCAAATTTCTATTTGTTATCATTTTTCATTTGATTATCTAAAGAATTTTTAAGTAACAATTAAATAAATCAAAAATTTTCTATGTCAAATAAACACATCACATGAATTTTAATTCCGTTATATTTTGACATTTCTAATAATTTTATTATAAAATTTATAATATTAAATTATACGTATAAAAACTTAAAAGAAATTAAATCAGTTTTATTTAAAATATAATTTTTTTTTTCCNTACATTATTTAAAAGGAGATAAATAAATAAATAAACAAAAAGTGATATAAATTATAAAATAAAATAAATAAGTAAAAATGTGAAAAACTTTCTATAAATAAAAAGTAAATTTTTCTATTATTTCTAACACAAAAATATAATGGAATTACTTTGATTAAATCGATTGATGCTTTATCTTTAAACGTAAAAATAAAAATAAAAATACAAACAACTTAATTGTAAAATTATAATGATAATATAAGATAAATGACAGTTTTTCTCTCATCATTTTCCAAGAGAAAATGATAAAATTTCCAATTTAAATAAGTAATTAGCTTATTATTAGATTTTGCTTTTAAGGAAACATTTCACATTTTTAAAAGTGGAATTATCCTTGATGTAATCGGTAACAAGTTTTATTAAGAGAATTAAATTATGTTTGCACCATTAATGAGTTTACATTATTGGAGATAATGTTAATAAGTAGGAATTTTACTGATTAATATCAGTTTTCTAATAATTACTAACGTTTCTATCTGACAATTTCATATAATTTTCAACAAGAATTTCTTTTTCTTTTACTTAACAGAAGTTAAACTTTTTTTTCACAGAAATTTGATAATTTTTTTTTTCCAATATAAACAAGAAAATATAAATTAAATTTACATTTTTTTTTGTATTGTTACATTATAAATGAGCATTTAAATAAAATGACAGCAAATAATAATTATATTTTATACTATTTTTTATGATTTAGAAAGATAAACAATTCTGTAAAATTTTTGGAAAACAAAGTTTACTTCAGAATTCAGCCGCTAGGGAAAATTTGGCGCTAATGTCTACTTAATGTTCATATTACAAAATTTCTTAAGTACTGGAAAGAATAGAATAAGAAATGCATGAGCAGACTGAAAGCATTTTCAACTCCTTTTATACATAAGTAAGAAAACGTGCACATTAACGAGTACAGTCACGCCAAACTTTCCCTAGTGGCTGAACTGTGAAGTAAATTTTCCTTCGAAAATCGAAACAGCATAATCAGGGCAGTGCATATAACGAATTTGGTTAGGATCTGACCAATAATTTTTCTACAGAGAGCTCTTTAACTATGATCTACCGTATAATATATAATATAATTTATAATATACAATTTATAGACCTTAAGCGTAAAGATCTATAAGTAAAATTCATGACTGGTAAATTTTATAGGTTATTAATAAAATAATACATTATTAGTTATATGTATTATAATGTGAATTGTGTTTCAGCATCCATTTTATTCTCGATAAATCAATAAGAGAAAAGTAATAAAATTCGAATTTCGGCTCTTGGCAATTGTTGAAAGTGTCAGAAATGTGAAAAAAATAAATGTTTTTTTTTCACTCGTCCTTTATAAATCGATAGAAGAACACAAAGATTTCAAAAAAAAAAAAATTAAAAGTTTTTCTTTACTTATTTCACGTCTTTACAGTAACCAGGAAGCAATTCTATTCACTTTTTAATTTAAAACATCACGTGACTTCCGTTCTAGACAGGAAGCGCGTGCATACTTAACCGTGTCCTCCGGCTTTTAAATTTTCCATATCTGGTCTCGATTTTCCTGTATCTAACTCCATTCTGGAGATTAAGGATGAACGGACGGACAGACAGTCGATAATGAGAATCTATAATAATGCAATATGTAAATTGCAGCCAAATAGAAAATTTAATAAAGATAAATATAAAAATAATACATTAAAAGTGGTAAAAATGTAACTGCTTTAAGCGAAGAGAATAGATCAAATTTACATGATTTAAAAGGAGATAAATAAATAAATAAACAAAAAGTGATATAAATTATAAAATAAAATAAATAAGTAAAAATGTGAAAAACTTTCTATAAATAAAAAGTAAATTTTTCTATTATTTCTAACACAAAAATATAATGGAATTACTTTGATTAAATCGATTGATGCTTTATCTTTAAACGTAAAAATAAAAATAAAAATACAAACAACTTAATTGTAAAATTATAATGATAATATAAGATAAATGACAGTTTTTCTCTCATCATTTTCCAAGAGAAAATGATAAAATTTCCAATTTAAATAAGTAATTAGCTTATTATTAGATTTTGCTTTTAAGGAAACATTTCACATTTTTAAAAGTGGAATTATCCTTGATGTAATCGGTAACAAGTTTTATTAAGAGAATTAAATTATGTTTGCACCATTAATGAGTTTACATTATTGGAGATAATGTTAATAAGTAGGAATTTTACTGATTAATATCAGTTTTCTAATAATTACTAACGTTTCTATCTGACAATTTCATATAATTTTCAACAAGAATTTCTTTTTCTTTTACTTAACAGAAGTTAAACTTTTTTTTCACAGAAATTTGATAATTTTTTTTTTCATTTGGATGATATTTTCAAATTGCAGACCTAGAGAAATTTCGAGCGTGCCTATCTGGTCTCGATTTTCATCGATGGTCATCGAGAATTTCGTATCTGGTCCCGATTTTTATCCATGATAATGAAGATTTCCATATCTGGTCTCGATTTTTATCCACGATAATGAAGATTTCCATATCTGGTCTCGATTTTTATCCATGGTAGTGAAGATTTCCATATCTGATCTCGATTTTTATCCATGATAGTGAAGACTTCCATATCTGGTCTCGATTTTTATTTATAATAATGAAGATTTCTATATCTGGTCTCGATATTAATCACGAACTTCCGTTCTAGACCGAAAGTTATACCACTTTTTTTAAATTAAAAAATAACTAAAAATATCTGCTCGGCATTATGACCATATGAGAATAATATACCATCGATTTTTTACCATAAAAAAACATTAATTTTTCTAAAAGAATAATTATTTACTTAACTTTGTTTTACATTATTGCTTTCTTTATACCTGGATATACGGCCAAACCTTTGAAAAACGGACACTGATGAGATGGTAAAAAAAAGATGGCTGCCGTTTAGAAATGCCGTTGTTTGGAGGTTATTTTCTACACATTATTGTTTAGAAAGCTCCTGAAAAACTGGTCGCTGTTTAGAGGTGGCCGTTATTGAAGGTTCAAAAGTTTCACGATTATTATTATTATTGAAATATTTTATTATTTTTCGCGACTTTAATTAGTTTAAATTATTTTTAATTTCGATTAATATTGTTTATTTTATTAATTAATTATTGTTTATTGAAGTAAATTGTTATTGTGTATCTTCTAAAAATAAATAAATTAATTACTTATAAACGATTTCGTTGAAAAACACCCATTTTATTTAACTTCCGTGTGGCTTTAAAAACATTTTATAGAAACTTTATTTGTCTTTCTTACACGATAAAATATTTAATTGTTAAAGTTAAATGTATTGTTCGTTTACAATAGACTCGGTAAGTTATATTCAATACGAAGTACGTCTATAAAGCAATTTATGTAGTGCTTCTTAACCTTTTATCAGATGGAACATTGCTTTATTAACTAACAATGACACGTATCGTTTTTTGATTATAATGAGCAATTGGATAAACCTGTAACATATCTATATTACATGAAGCTATGGCTTGTCACTGTGTAAAACGGACAATGACTTGTCACACTGTGATACAGTTAATGTCTTGTCACCGTATAAAACTATAGCTTTTCACTGTTTAAAACAGACTATGGCTTGTCAAATTAAATTTATTTAATTATCTACGAAGTTTAAGTACAATAAAATATTATAAACTGTCTTTATTATTATTTAATTAAAGAGTACACAAAGAAATATTTATTCATCTAATCTTCGAAGAAATTTAATTTAAGGAAAATACTTTGTAAATATTTGTCATGGTTAAAGGTTTAACTTACAAATAAACACGTTAACTGTAAACGTAAATAAATGTTATCGATATAAGTTCGTGTGTAGATTTATGACTTCTAGACGAGGTAAATATTACAATTCTTTAGTAATATTTCATTAAATACAAAGTAGAAAGAGTTAGAAAAATATCAGCAAATTTACAAAAGAAAAAGACAATGTTAATAGAGTTAAAATGAGTTTATCTAATTTACATGAAGCTGATAGAGATTTTGGTGAAGCTAGTGATAGTGTTGGTAATTACGGTGTTTTGGTGCTAGTGTTGTTCTAGTGGTAATGATGGTAGTGCTAGTGTAGCTAGTGGTAGTAGTAGTGATAGTGGTGGTAACAACGTTGGTGATGCTAGTGTTGTTCTAGTGTTAATGATGGTAGTGCTAGTGTAGTTAGTGGTAGTAGTAGTGATGGTGGTGGTAACAACGTTGGTGATGCTAGTGTTGTTCTAGTGTTAATGATGGTAGTGCTAGTGTGGCTAGTGGTAGTAGTAGTGATGATGGTAATAAGGATGTTGGTGTTAGTAGTGTTGATGTGATGAGAATGATACAATAGCAATGACGATAACAGTGATACATTAGTGATAGTAATATAAATTTATAATAATAAAAATTAACATATATAATTAATTAAATAACAAATATATATTATATAAAATACACTCCTTCTTCCTTATATTGTATTATGTCTTTGTAGTATTAATACAAGAACATATTACAATATATTCATTAGAACTGTTTTAAAATTAACCTATAAAATGTTTATTATCTTACAATTACAGACGTTAAATTCTATAATTCTGACTTCTATCATTAAAACAAAACTACATATTATGATAATTACAATCGAAGGGAAATTTATTTCAATTAAAAATCGATGAGAGAGAATATTGCCAAAAAGTTAATTTATATTAAACTTTACGTATATAAAATATAATACTTATATCCTGAATGGGATGAATAGCATCATAAAGGGAATACAAAAAAATTCCATCATCATGAAATAGAAAATCAATGTTATTCCTAAGTATAGAGAAGATTTTATTGTGTAAGCAACAGAAAGGAAAATTCTTCTCTCTTCCAAGAAAAGATATATATTTTTCTCTATAAATTGGTACTAAATTTAAAAAAAAAATTAATATAAAAAGAAATTCATACGGATAAATCTTAAGAATTTAAAAAAATAATTTTTCTAAAAACATTTTAATTTATTGTATTTAGAAAATAGGAAAAATTGAAGCAGTAAAAGTAATATAAATTCTTATTTTATGAAATTTATTCTGTGAAAAAGTTATATTTAATACATTTTTAAATTAATAAATTTGTAACATTGAAAAAACGTGGTTTATTCTCCAAGAATTGAAGTGCTATACTTTATGAAATTGTATAAAACATTTCTATTTTATATTATTTAAATAAATTGTTTGTTTGTTTGTATAAGAAACTTAACGGGGGAGGATTTTTTATGGGAACTGGTCCTATTTAAGTGTTTTAATAACGTAAAGAAAACACGAAAAACTATACGTAACCGACTACTTCAGTGGTTTTCATTCACTCGGCCATTAATTTAAATAAACAATTGCTGGTTTATTTATACAGAAGTGGAAACACTACTTGTGTAAGTTGACCATAGGAAGAAATTAGAGCGGAAAGAGAGAGGGAAGGTAAATAGCTGGATGAAGAATTAAGAAGCTACTTTGATTTAATGACGATTTTTATTACTCAAATTATAATAAAATAATTGAAAAATTAGTAGTATTTCTTGTGAAAATACAATTTTTAGAGAATGTAACGTTCAAAAATTAACATTATTTAATAGTAATATAATAATCTTATTACATTTATAAATTTAATGAATTATTTTATTAATTTAAATATTAGGGGGTCGACTGTAATTTACAGTCGACCCCCTATAACACTGTTGATAATTCCGTTTTATATGAATTCCATGTTGTACGAGTCACTTAGATTTTACAAATACGTGAGCCGTTCAGAGCCCGGCAGACGTATTTGTAAAATTTAAGTGACAAGTACAACATGGAATTCATATAAAACGGAATTATCAACAGTGTTATAGGGGAGTCGTCTGTATACTTAAAAATGCTATCTATGTTTATAAAATAGAATTTCTGTTGCCGTCTGTCTGTTCTCTATACACTTCTAAACCTTTTATCCGATCTGCACCACGCTTTTTATGGTTACTCCCGAGGACTTTGCAGAAAATATACGCTACCATACCACCCTCCCCCTAATTTTATCACCCGTGTTAACTCCTAAATCCTTTTACCGATCTTCATAAAATTTTTCACAGTTATTTACTAAGATCCTGCGGAAAATATAGGCAATCGTAAACCTATACACTTCACTCATCCTCTTACTTTCTTCCCCTTCATACTTAGTGATAATTATGACAATAGTATGATAAAATACCCAAAATTTCATATAATTTATAGTCGTAATACAAAAATATTTTATTATGATTACTTTAAGGCTATTTTAAATTATTGTATGCATTTATTTCTTCCTTAATCCTCTATTATGTTCGGTTGATTAATGATAATTATAATTTACAGTAGTATTTTTCAGAATAAATAAGTGATATTAACCAGATATTTAAATTAAATAATTAACTGATTCAATAAATCTTCATAAATATGACTTACGTTTGTAAACAAAGTTAAACACTCGCTGTAATTTGTCCAGTTTCCCCAATGCCACTGACCTGTATAGTTGCATATTCTATAAGCAACTGGATCTGAAAGTATAAAGAAAACAATACTTTCACTAATCTCCTTACTTTCATTTCAACTTGAAAAATGTATTTACACACCTTTATTCTCTATCCAGATATTTTCTGGTATTGTAAATATGCTTCTGCATGATCTTGTTACAACTTCTCCCGCTGGAACAGGGGGCCAACAGTATAACTTATCCCAAGCAGCTTCACAATATGTACCTATTGAAAAGAAATTCATAGTTTTAGATAAAGCTGATTACAGTTTCTTTACCAAAAACAGTTTATTTCCTCGAGGGAAGAAAAACATTTACAATCGACCCCCTATAACACTGTTGATAATGCCATTTTATATGAATTCCATGTTATACGAGTCACTTAGATTTTACAAATATGTGAGCCGTTCACAGCCCGGCACACGTATTTGTAAAATCTAAGTGACTCGTACAACATGGAATTCATATAAAACGGAATTATCAACAGTGTTATTGGGGGGGGTCGACTGTGTACTACAAACATAAATATAACGCTATGATATATTATTATTACTTTCACATAAAAAAAAACAATATTTTAACGTCGGTTCTTACATTTAATTAAATGTATTTATTTTTTATTATTGCATCCATACTTCTTGAGTCACAGAATAAGAAGAAAATATAATTATATCTTCTAAGTCTGAAGCTTAAACTCTGTATAAAATCGTGAAAATAAATCCCAAATAATAAATGTGATGATAAGAATAAAGTAAAAGAGATTTGGAAGCTTTAAAGAGATAAATTTTCCGTGTAACTATTTTTATAGTTTAATTACAGTAAGAGGAAACTCCTGCAAAAATGATTTCATCATGATAACACTCGGATCTATAAGCTTAACATTACCTTCTCGATTATAATTTATTCACATATTATAAAATATATTTAATTACATTAACCCAGAAGTCGATTAACCATGATAGAAGCGAGCAAACTTAGCTGTTTCAGACAGATTATTTAACTGATTTTTGAGACACCCTTTATTAAAGTACAGTCGACCCCCCCTATAAGATCGTTGATTTTTCCGTTTTATCTGAATTACATGTTGTACGAGTCACTTAGATTTTACAAATACGTGTTCCGGGCTGTGAACGGCTCACATATTTGTAAAATCTAAGTGACTCGTACAACATGTAATTCAGATAAAACGGAAAAATCAACGATCTTACGGGGGGTCGACTGTAGTGAATTATTAAACGTTAATAACTTATATACAGTCAAACTTCTGAAGAATGTTCTAAAAGATTTCCGCTGTTTACAGGTGTCCGTTGTTTGAAGGTTATTTCTGTTCGGAAAAACTGGACGAGGTGGTCGTTATTGGAGGTTCGACTATACTCTGTAGTACAGTTGCTTTTCTAAGAATGTGTCCCGTTTACACAGGTTACAGTTTTATTAAAGTTTTAAGTAGAATGTTATATGAGTATAATATGTTCCTACACGTGATCCAAACCGAACTTTTTCACTAAAATCCCTGCAGTGGAATGTGATTGATTGGTAATAAAACTTTTTCTCCGAGTTCCTTATAAGAAATACTACTGAATTCGATCCAATAGCCAACATTTTCGTTCAAAATTGATGTTTATAGTGGCATCACTTTAAAAATATTTAACTTCTTCAAGAAACTTTATAACTTTCTTCGAAGATCTGTAAGTACTTCAGGTTAAATTGTTATTTATTTACAACTTAAATAAATCAGAAAACGAGGGTTGTCCGAAACAAAGTGAATTTAATACAAAGACGGCACACCATCTCTAAATCACCCTTCCAAAAATGATAGGAATGTTAAGTGTCAAAGGTCACAGCTGAGATAGCCGCACCCCGATCCACGTGTACAACCTCAACTACAATAAAACCTAGGCATAAAACGTACAGTTTAACACTAAGCATTGTAAGATCTTACAGCTCATTTGCTGTTAGAAGAATCTGTAGACAGCTTTCAAACTTAGAAAAGTTTGTTGGGATCGTTCGAAAAATCTTTCTTTGACAGGATAACTAAATAAATATGGTTGAATGATTCCAGTAAACACTTTCAATGCAAGAGTGAAACATTAATACCCAATTAAAATCTTTAACTACTTAATTGAGATGCCGAAGAAAAATCCATGATCAAAGGAAATCTGTAATTACATTCGGTTCTTAGATTTTTCTCTGTTCTTTCAGGCAAAAATCCTGTTTTTCTGTAAGCTTAGCAATGGTCGAGTGGATTAGTTGATCGTGGGTTCGCCCCTTGTTAACACCTAATAGATATCATAGGTGCAAATCCCAAAAACACTACGTTAGTGGGGTGCAAAACAGTAATCAAGTGTGTCACTAGTTTTTGGACTTCAGTGGTTTCACCCATTGTAATAACAGTGATTACAATAGTTTTATTATTTATTTACAATAATTATTATTGAAGCCTAACCGGGAAGAACATAAAAAAGACGGAAGTAATAAGTTGTATTTATTATAACTAATAAAGAAACCCTCGAGTGATAGAGAAAGGTGTTGTATTCTCCATATTCGCAATATAATAAATGCAATGTAAACAAATTTATGTGCTGCAGGAATAAATGATTTTCCTGTATTTTTTTTTATATTCAAGAATTTTCTGTAGAATTTGTAATAAAATTAATATTATGTAGAAAACATTACACTTAAATTTTCATAAATTAAAAGGGAATTAATGCAGGGCTGTTAAGGTTCAGAGTAGTGCCCTATACGCATACATATCTTCGTTTATGAGGTCTTTATCATATTATTTTGATGAGTTAATACTTTAACACACTATTAATTCAATTTAAAAAGACTTAACCTTTTGAACACATATAATTTCCTTTGATGATGCATCATTACCCTGGTATCTGATGAAACGTAGCTACTCAGTTAATAGAAATATCTGAACACTGGTATTGGTGGTGGGTTCGTACCTGACTAATATGCTGGCTATGTAAAGTTTTCCTGACTTTAATCACCTAAATAAAAATTTTTTTCCTTTGGCATACAGCTCCTGTGTTGCAATGCCTTATGTTATAACAAAACAAATCCTCACAGAAAGGTAGCGTTGATGTCTTACAGCGTCAGCAATCTTATTGTCTTAACCACTAGGCCAACTTATTCTTACTACTAACATGAAAACTTTCATGCCTGCTAGATTAAGCCATCCCTCTACGTTCTGGAGAATCCTGGGTTCGATCCAGGATCCTCCGGAACGTAGCAATTTGGGCAATTGAAAAACCTTCAAGAATTTCTCAGAAAATTATCTATATTCTTTACCACCTATTTTGGGCATGGCTAAATCCTCGACTCTTAATAAACAGCCCTTCTGAGTGCTTAATGTTGCGAAAAGTGCATTCAAAAGAGTGCCCATATGAAAATAAACTGCAACTTCTATCTATAAACAGTAAACGTTTATTTAAAAAAAATTACTGTTTCTTCACAAAAAACGAATCGATATTCTAAGAGGAATTTTCTATTTCGGTAATGAATAATTATTTCTTTAGTTTATGCCTGGACAGTTACATAAACATAAAAGAATAACAAGATAGATGAATACAATACTATTGTAAAATAAATTTCTTAAATACTAAAATATTAATTAAAATTTGCCAGTTAAATTATTTTAGTAATTTAAAGCAGTTCAAAATAAAAATAATTAAAGTTATTTTTTCAGTCATAAATATTAACATATTTATATTCTTTATCATTATTTATAATAGATTATTTTTATTAGAGAAACATACAATCTTATTATTTGTTTTAAAAATGATTTAATTTATAATAAAAGTTTTTTTTAATTATACTCTTAACTATTAAGCACTATTTTATANTTTATGTTTACATCTTTCTTAAGTCTGAAAGTCGGTTCAATGTCACGCAGTTTATCACAAATTTTCCTCTAGAAATAGAAAACGGAGGTTTTTCTTCCCCCCCTGTGTTGCGGCGAATTTTCCTTTATAGAACTTACTGAAAGTATTATTTGGTAACTGTGATTGGCAGGATCAATTCTGAGACGTGACTCGACATATATTACTTATAACATTATATATTTTATAAAATAACTACATAAACAGTTCTTTACTTTAGAATAAAACAATGATACTACATATACACCTGTTAATTTAGTTGTAAATGAGATTAGGAATTATAATTCGTATTTATACACTTGAACTAAAACTTAGGGATATAAATATATAATATAAATTTATATACAATAAACCTAGATTTAAAGGGTACGGTTGTTAAACGAGCCGTCATAAATCGAACCTAATTTATGCCATAAATAAAGTACTGTATACACTTTAATTATATACTTTAGATTGTATAATATTGTATAGAAATAGAAAAGAGTACGATATTTAATCGTTTCTGTTTAAAATAACCTCCTAACTACGGACATCTCCGGACAATAGCTACCTTTTATGTTCTCGTTATTAACAGGTTCGACTTTATTGTTATAATTGAACTAAAATTATAATGAAAAGAGAAATTTCCCTATAAAATAATGGAAGAGAACATGAAAAATTCCATAAAATATATTAAAATATGGACAATGATGAATGCTGACACCAAAAAGAAATATGGCAGAATCGATATGTTTAACTACATCAGTGAATGTACTTTTAGTTTTTATATCATAAGTTAGGATTCATCCAATATATTACTGTATATCCCATTGGATTTAAAATATCGATCAGTTCTTTTCTAGAATTTCTTTTCAAGAAAATAACAATTTCTTTTTTACTTTTAATGTCTCGTAAAAGTTAATTTCGAACGGAATTTAATAAATATTTTTATATATATATATAAGAGCGAGATATATTAAACTTGAAAGCTTATTAAGTGAGATAACTCCAAGTATAATAACTTTACAATCTTATAAAATATGTTATAAGTTTATAAAGTTATTAATTTAACACACAACTTATATTATCCGCAGGTTCCTAGAGATTAACTATAAAAAATTTGGTGCAGATCGATCAAAGGGTTTATGAGATAATAAGGGTGGTGAGATGGCAATTGCATTAAGGGGAAATTTTTGAATTAAATTAACGTACTTTTCTATCTACAGCTGAAGATTTTATATAGTTAATCGGGGCCTACTGCCCCTAATGTTTCTATATCTAGTCTCGATTTTTATCTGTCTAACAAGGTTTTCGAGATCAATTAAGGACAGACAAGCAGACGAATGACAGTGGGAATTTATAGGTCTGC